GATGTTAAATTATATGAAGTTTTGTAATTTCCTAGCTCAATTAAATACAACACAACACAATGGTCTGACCAATCCAAGAAGATCCAAGAATAGTTTGTACGGAAGCAGGCATGTTTTATTGGCTATAAGCACTGATATATTTTAATGTTGTCACAGAAGAAAATTCAAATAAAAAAAAAAAAAGAAAGAAGATAATTATTCTCTGGTGGGTGAATGAGGAGAAAGGGCCACCATCGAACTGATAAAGAAGTTATTTAAATCTGGGATGTTTTCAAAATTATGTGAATAATGCAGCGCATTCATAATGAAATGATGATTTCAAGCTTGAAATGGACAAAACTTAACTTGTAGAAGTAGAAAACAGCTGTTTCCCACATCAAAGCCTTTGGTTGGGGTTGAAAGTATGGTCTGGTACTGTGTTCCTGTAAAGTTGGGTGGCATCCAGTACCAGGAAGACCCGCTGCCTGTTGTTTTGATACGCCTCCTTCAGCGTTACCTGATCACAGTGAGATGGTTGCAATGTGTTTAAACCTCGCATATGCTTTTCAAAAAGTGTGTGGTGCGTGTTAAACTTTGAGAAACCGCTCTGTGATCTGTCTTTGCACTCTTATCTTTGTCTGCCTCATGCTCTGCTCAGGAGCTCGTTGCTCCCTCATCATCTTCTCTGTTCTCTGCTGTCTCTGAACTCACTACTTAATGTGGCTGTAAAACAGCTCTTGCTGCACATTTTGTCTAAATTTGAGGAATTTATTTCTTCCACCTCATGAGAGTTGGTTTAAAACTTTATACAATTCCTACCAAGGAAATACCTATATTATTTCCAAAATAAATATTTATTAATCTACTGTGAGTCATTTTATAAAGACCAAGAGGAAAAGGCAAAAAAACCATCTTTGAATGTTTGTCTATAATTTATCATTTTCTATCCCTTTAATTAGGATGTTGGTTTCTTGTATTGTCTTGAAAATTTAGAATTTGTTTTTTTAGATTGAGGTCAGGATTGTCATGGCAATTTTTCATATTATTAAAAAAATATAGGTGGATTTAAAGACTGAAACAGATTTAACTATGAAACTCTAGTTTTGGTTAATCAAGATTTAAGATCACTCTTCTTTTCTGCATATTTTTTAAAGATAGTCCTCTTTAGGTGTGGCATCAGCTTCAGTATAGCTAAAAGGGAAAACAATCTGTATTAGTCAGCCCTGAATATTTATTTATCATTTACTCTTTTTCTCACATAATCACAATGGAGAATCTAGAGGCTGGAAATCAAAATTAAAGTATAACTTCTTATTTGTTGGTTATAAGGGTCTTTATTTTTTAAGTTGTATGCAGGATGTAAGGAAACAATACTTGCCATTAACTTTTTTCATATAGTACTAGCAAGAAATTAAAATGGTTTCCTTTCAAGATTCACAACTTCTTTCTTAAGATTTTTCCCCATCTGTTGATCTCATATATATCTGTTAAACCAGATAATGTCTCTCTAGTCCCTGAAAAAAGCTATCATCTACTAAACATGATAATCTCTGGCAGTTATTTAGATCATGGATAGTAGTTTGATCACAATGGAAAGGAAAGGGTTGGTCTAAAGCAATAGATGTCTTCATTACTGATTTTAAAATTACTGGGATTACTGGTATTCTAATGACATCAGAAAACAAGATTGTAATTTCTAGCTTTTGTGATTGTCTTTCAGAGGGAGGGATCCTGTCCCTATATAACATCTCCAAAGAAACCTCTGGATTCTACGTCTGCACATCGAGCAACAAAATTCGTTCTGCTACCTGCAACATAACGCTCACAGTCATGCCACGTAATTTAATTCTTCTTAACAGATCTGACAGTTATAGTAACTAATTCCCCTGTGCATTGTTGTCTTAACTCTTCTTCTTTTTTTTATGCAGCATCCATGAATGTTGGTCCAGTTGCACGGATCATTACAGGAGTTGTTTTGGCTTTGATCTTATTCATCGTTATTATCGAATACTGTTGCTGCCAAAAGAAGGACAAGGACAATGAAGAATATACTATGGCACCGTATGTTCTTTTGCTATTGCACTCACGCCTTAACCCTAACAAGACACGCTAGCTTTTGGAACCATCCAAATTCTATACTGATATGATTCTAAAATTGTGGCTCAAGTCTTGTATTTCCCTATAAGCAGTTGCTATAGTAACTATGGCGTGCACACTAAACTGCCATCTGGGAAGCATAAATGTGTGCTAGACTACTCTCAAAAGCCAAATGTGTATGCCTACTTAAGTAACTTCTGAGGAGTCAAAACCCATGCTAAAATGCCTTCTTGGAAGCCAAAACTAGGGTTGCCAACTCCCCCTTTGCGAGTGGCGGCTCTAGACCAAATGTACCAGGGGGCCAGGAGGGGGCCAGCGTGTTTTCATGGGTTCACAGAAAAGCATGAATTAAAAAACAGGGCGAGGGATTTAAATATATTAAAATAGCTGCATGAATTACAATTTCTATTGAATTAGGTTTAATTAAAATTCTATGTCTTATTAGGTCAATATACAATCATAATTTAGGAATTTTACATATTTTTGACTAAATTTAAGTTAAATTAAATTATTTTCTATAAAATCTGAATTAGAACTCAAGAAAAACTGATAAATTCAGTATTTTCAGTATTGAAAAAAACACTTAGCAGATTAAAACTGGGCTCCACTGAAGCTATCACGTTATTGTTTTTAGATAATTAGTAAATGTAGTAAAATAACCTATCAGTAACCATGTCTGTTCCAGTAGATATCATCATTAGAATTTCTTTGACTATTATGGCTTCAGTACAGGGGCCATAACAGGGGCCAGCACATGATCTAAAGGGGCACTGGCCCCCGTTGGTCCCTGTCTAGAACCACCCATGCTCCTTTGTGTGTGAAACTATTTATTTATTTTTTTTACTATTTGACTCAAATCTTCATTGAATTAGATACATATTTGGGAGTGACATGAACACACGGAAAACAAATTATTATCCAGCAATTCTACAAAACTATTAATACAAAACAACAAACTTTGCTGAATAAAATAAGTATCTTAAACATAAGCCTGTCCTGCTTTACTTAGAACTGGAAAAATGAATAGAAAACAATAAATAAATACTGCACATTTTTGGTGCAACGGCAAATTTGTAAACATATTCGTGCCTTAAATGCAATGACTGTAGCCTACAGTTGTAAAACAGGAAGAAAAAAAAATAGCTCAATGCCACATTAATTAGCAATAGTCTACTTTTACCACTTATTTACCACAAATTTCCTCTGAGCTCTTGCAGCAGTAAAAAGCTGTTTGTCTTTGAGTGCTGCAGAGTAAAACTCTGAGCAAGAGAGTTCATAATCAAGGCTGATTATGAGCTCAGCTTTAATTAAGTCTGTTAAAGATGAACTATGTGTATGCACCTTGGAGCTCTATCTCTCCGGTTCTTTTCTCTGAAAAGTGATCACTCGGGACAAACTCTTTAAATAACAATTCAAAGCTTACATTAAATAACCAGGAGACATGACAACAGGTTCTGATAGAAATTGTAATCTTAATCAGATCAGAGAAGTAGCTTAGAATTTCTATGAGGCAGCTGCTCACCTCTCAGATTAACAGATAAAGAGGCATTTTATACATCTCCAGTATGCCACATCATCACATTTTACATCATACACGTTAGCCTTATCAAAATATTACACTTTGTTCTTACCTGAAGGACAGTGCTCTCATTCCATTCCCAAATATATATAAGTACAGAATGAAGATTATATTCGGACAGAGGAACTATTTTAATTTAATAAACTATTGTGGAAAACATCACAACACCCAAGAGGCAGCTAATATTAAGGTGTAATAAACTCACCCATTATCAATGGTAATTATCCTAACAATTCAGTGGAACATTTTTTCCACATATAAGTCCCTTTGTTCTTCATTAAGGAGAAAATCCTCTCCACAAAACCAGTGGAAAATGGGATGCTGAGGACAAAGGAAACAGCAGCTTGGATGTTGGGAAGGTCAGCTGCCTTTCTGGATGACATAGTTGTCAGCTCATTGGTCAAAAAGCAGGACAGGGCCCGGGAACAAGTTTATCATAAGTTTTGTATCTAACGTGCCCTTTTTCTTCATTTTCCATTAGCTTCTTACTTCATATGTTTTTTTACTCTCACAGTAATACGGGACAAAGTGTTTTCCTTTTCCACTAAATATGGGACAGGTACTTCTACTTCTAAATACGAAACAATTCTGTATTTAGCTCACGTTGCCAAAATATGCTAAACTTTCTTCTTGGAAGCCAGAACGTGTGCTAAACTGCCTTCTCTTAATCAAAAATACACGCTAAGCTGCCATCTTGGCATCCACAGCGTCTGCTAAACTAAAGAACAGGGGTAAATACTCGCTTTATGTGCCTTTTCTTTCCTTCCCACTCCTGCTCTTCAAAAAGTCTGTTCATGTCAGTGTATAGCTACCCACTCGCCTCAGGGCATTCAGGATTTTATTTTACTAAAACACATTACAGTAATCACTTAAACATTATATATACACATGCTTCTTTTCCTAGTTTAGGAAATGTAACCATCTCTACCAAGCTCATATTTCTGTCCTCACTGTTTGACTGTCTACTTTTCATAGGTAATGATGGAGACAAGGAGGTTGTTGAAAACGGTGGGGGTCGCAGCATTGATGGAAAGGGGAGCCCACGAGACTCCAGAGTCAGCAAACCAGTTGAACGACAAGATGACTATGAGGAGAGGAGTGAGCGCAACTATGATCGCCACAGCGACTATGACGACCGCAGCAGCGACTACAACGACCGCAGAAGCGAATGCAACAACCGCCGAAGCGACTACGACAACCGACGTAGCATCAACGATGACCGCAGCAGTGACTATGACGGCCACAGTAGCTACTACGATGACCGCTGTAGCGACTACGACGACCACAGAAGCGACTATGAAGACCGCCGCAGCGACTACAACGACCGCCGCAGCGACTACGACGACCACAGAAGCGACTATGATGACTGCCGCAGCGACAACAACGACCACCGCAGCGACTACGACGACCACAGAAGCGACTATGATGACCGCAGAAGCGACTATGATGACCGCCATAGCAACTACGACGATCGACACAGCAAGCACAGTGACCGCTATGAGCGCTACGATGATGACCGCCGCTTTTAGGAGCGGCATTACAATGAACGCAGAGATCCTCGCTCTGATGATGACCGCTATGATGATCGTGACAGACCCTAGAGGAACTGGAATGAGGTGACCAGGACCATCCATGTGCATGAAATCAGAAGATTCTCTGTTTTTTCTTTTTTTTTTTTATCCATATACGCAAATTATTTACCTAAGATTATTTCCCTGGGATTTTACAACTTAACTCAAAACTTTTGCTTGATCATTCATTAATCAACAAGTAGACTAGGGGGAAAAGACCAGTTGCAGGGCAAAAACAAATGAGCTTTTCTGAGCTGTACTATTGAATATTGACAAAAATGTAATTAACACACATTGTTTTTGCTCAAATTACGATGTACAGTCATGGCCAAAAGTATTGAGAATGACACAAATATTATATTTTCACATGATCTGCTGCCCTCTGGTTTTCATGTGTGTATGTCAGATGTTGTCATCACATACAGAAATACAACTGCAATCATTTTATGAGTAACAAAAGCTTTTAATGACAGTTAGAATGAGTTAATGCAGCAAGTCAATATTTGCAGTGTTGACTCTCTTCTTCAGGACCTCTGCAATTCTCCCTGGCATGCTCTCATCAACTTTTGGACCGAATCCTGGCTGGTGATAGTCCATTCTTGCATAATCAATGCTTGCATTTTGTCAGAATTGCTAGGTTTTCGTTTTTCCACCTGTCTCTTGATGATTGACTACAAGTTTTCACTGATATTAAGAACAGGGGAGTTTCCAGGCCATGGACCCAAAATCTCTATGTTTTCTTCCTTGAGCCAGTTATATATCACCTTTGCTTTATGGCAAGGTGCTCCATCATGCTGGAAAAGGCATTGTTCATCACCAAACTGCTCTTGGACGGTTGGGAGAAGTTTCTCTCAGAGGACATTCTGGTACCATTCTGTTTTCATGGCTGTGTTTTTAGGTAAGACTACTGTGAGAGAGCTGACTCCCTTGGCTGAGAAGCAACCCCACACATGAATGGTTTCAGGATGCTTTACAGTTGGCATGAGGCAAGACTGGTGGTAGCGCTCACCTTGTCTCAAACAATCGGAAAGGGGATTCATCAGAGAAAAGGACTTTACCCCAGGACTCATCAGTCCACTCCCTGTACCTTTTGCAGAATATCAGTCTTTCCCTGATGTTTTTCCTGGAGAGAAGTGACTTCTTTGCTGCCCTTCTTTGAGACCAGGCCTTGCTCCAAGAGTCTCCGCCTCACAGTGCGTGCAGATGCACTCACACCTACTGCCATTCCTGAGCAAGCTCTGCACTGCTGGTAGCCCGATCTGAAACGCTTTTAAGAGACGGTCCTGGCCCTTGCTGGTCTTTCTTGGGTGTCCTGGAGCCTTTTTGGCAACAATGGAACCTCTCTCCTTGAAGTTCTTAATGATGCGATAGATTGTTGACTGAGGTACAATCTTTCTAGCTGTGATTTTCTTTCCTGTTAGGCTATTTTTGTGCAGTGCAATGTTGACTGCATGTGTTTCTTAAGAGATAACCATGGTTCACAGAAGAGAAACAATGATGCCAAGCACCAGTCTCTTTTTAAAGTGTCCAGTGGTGTCATTCTTACTTAATCATGACAGATTGATCTCCAGCCCCACTAAAAAAAAATAATGTACTTAATCATATTTAGTTTTTTTAACACAATTGTTTTATGTCCTACCCTGCTAACATGAAACAATTGTGTTAAAGTAACTAAATATTATTAAGTAAATTCCAAAAACTGTTGCATTATTTTTTCAGCCCTGTCCTCATCACCACCCACACCTGTGTTAATGAAGCAATCACTGAAACGATGTTAGCTGGTCCTTTTAAGGCAGGGCTGCAATGACGTTGAAATGTGTTTTGGGGGATAAAGTTCATTTTCTAGGCAAATATTGACTTTGCAATTAATTGCTGTTACGCTGATCACTCTTTATAACATTCTGGAGTATATGCAAATTGCCGTTATAAAAACTGAAGCAGTAGACTTTTTAAATATTAACATTTGGATCATTTTCAAAACTTTTGGCCATGACTGTACATGTGAGGTAACTAGACCGTGAAATATTAACTGATCTTCACAGGATTTTATTTTTGAGGATCTATTTGTAAAGATACATTTTCACTGAATATGCTTTGATGCTTACCTTATTTCAGAGTGATATAAACATGTTCTGTTTGTTTTTGTTGTTTTTTTGAATAGGGCCGTGTTTTTTTCTTTGGGTTCTAACTAAATTTAATATTTTATCACTTCCCTGTCAGAGGCATTGTATACAAATACCAAGGCTGTAACAAAATGCTGCAATAGTTGAGGATGTACAGTATGTGACTACTTACTTGGCATTTTAATTTACTTTTTTGTTTGTTTTTTTTTGTTTTTTCGTTTTGCTACTGGGTGTTAAAGAAGGTACCTTTTAAGTTATAATTATTTTAAAGGCTACCTTCACAGCAGGGATAAAGGCTTTATGTTGGTGCATTTAAATGTTGTTTTATTTAGACCATGGGTATTGCCCTTTGCATCATGTACAAATGTAACCTTTAATGCTCTTGGTGTTTGCAGTTTCCCTCTTTAACCACGCTATAAAAACAGGAACTATATCTTCAGCTGAATGTTGAAATTATCCTTACTCTCTTATCCTGTTAATTTTTT